CTTTACAAATCATACTATTTTACTGCCATTGAAAATTTTAGGATTTTTTTTTTATTTTCTTGATGGTCAATTTTGTATTTGAATGATTTATTATAAAACAAACTTAAGAGATCATGGTTATCAGGTAGCATAATTTATACTGATGTTTCAGCTCCTTCTAGCAGACTAAACAGTTTGATCTCCTCACTATGTGTTTCTTTGTCTGCATATAGGGAAAGAGGGTAAGCCAAACTTTTATTTCGTAACTGCAGCCTGATATTTACTTATTGTTTAGCTTTTTGCCTCAATTCAGATTTAATAGAGTAAGTAATGCAACTAATGGTGTAAGTTCTGTTTCAGTTCAGGACAAAATATGGTTCAGATTGACATTTTTAGTATAGATTTGGAATGACTCCCTAACCAAGTCTGAATGTGACCGTGTATAGATTAAAGCTTACTATCTCTCTGTCTTCTGTTTGTTGCCAAATGGCAAAGAAAGGCTCAGAAGAGTGTTTAACATGACCACATTATATATGTTTAACATTCTGGTGCCAAAGCCTAGGGGACTGATTACATACTCTTTGTAAAGCCTCTGTAATATTTGGAATAATTTCATGAGGATAAAGCCTTGGCCTAGTTAGCTCTTAGTGTCCAGGGTAAAGAAACATGGCTTTATGAACAAACAATGTATAATGAATTCAGATGTCCCATCCTGATGAGAAGTAATAAGTTACGTTTTTATTTCAGGTTATGTGTATGCATTGAAAGAAGAGCAGTAAACACTCTTGCCCATCTTTGTGATGGTGATGCAAGAACTGGGTTAAATGGGCTCCAGATGGCTGTCCAGGCAAGGTTAACGAATCCTCCCCATCAGAATGACAGCCAAGAGTGTTCTGCTAAAGGAGTGGTCATCACAGAAGATCATGTGAAGGAAGGCCTCCAACGGTCCCACATTTTGTATGACCGAGCTGGTGAGTGGCAAACGTAACAGCCCTTATGGTGGAACTGGGAAGGAATCCAGGATACTTGAGTCAACTGTGCACTTCTGTAGAACTGATTTTGTATATATTTTCTCTATCAAGGGTATCATAACTTTTATTGATTCATTTAGATGCCCCTTTTATCTCTGGGTAGTGAACAAGATTTAGAAACAGCACAATATACAGTGGGGCAAAAAAGTATTTAGTCAGCCACCAATTGTGCAAGTTCTCCCACTTAAAAAGATGAG